AGCATCAGTTGTGTGGAGAAGGAGGACAGGAAAGGGAGGGGTGAAACTAGAAAATGTGCTGTCATCAATAGTATCAGGGGTCGTGAGTCTGTCCCAAGCACTTCTCATCTGCTTGCTGACTCAGTATTGAGATTGAGCTCAAGCCCTAGATTCCAGCCATGGTTTCAGTCATTCCACTAATAGCTTCTGGGGTCCTTTGTCATACGTCAGTCAACACACCCCCACACCCACCTCCTCCATGTTCTAGGTCATACCTCATGATGCATATCCTAACCAGGTTGATCAAGGTTTCTGCTCTTGATTAAAATTTGCAAGGCACCTTTCATAGGAATGCAGAACTGTAGGTAACAAAAATAGTGACCGACAGGCCATTTAGCAGACCCAGCCTCTTATTTTTTTTTCCGTTGATTTTTTTAATATATATTTCTTTTTTGTAACAGTTTATTTTTACATCATTTTGTACTGTTGATTTTTAATACAATTAATTTGTTTGTTTTGCATCATTGTTCATTTTTGTACAATGTTTGCTTCCTCCCCTCAGGTATAGTCCCCATAGAATTCCCACCACTAATTCACCTGTGCACCATTGCCCCTATGCTCTTCCCTACCCTGTTTTGAGGCCTCGCCCTTCCTCTCTCCCACAGAACGTCTCTGATTTATAGTTGATTGCCAAGTTTTTTGTTGTTATAATTTTCCCCCAATCCCTCATTTGGTTCCCTTGTATTACTTCTATAAGTGAAGTCATCTGATATTTTTCTTTTTCCTTCTGACTTATTTCACTGAGCCTGATTCCTTCTAGCTCCATCCATACAAATGGTATGAGTTTATCTTTTTTGATTGCTGAATAGTATTCCATTGTGTGTATGTGTACCACATCTTCTTGATCCAGTCATCTGTTTTTGGGTATTTGGGCTGTTTGTCTTACCTCTTATAAATAGCGCTGCAATAAATAAAGGGATGTGTAGGTATCCTTTTGAATTAATGTTTTTGTATTTCTTGGGTGGATCCCTAGGAGTGGAATTGCTGGGTCATTTGGAAGTGCCATTTGTAGTAGTCTGAGGAACCTCCACATAGCTTTCCATAGTGGTTGGACCAGTTTGCATTCCCACCAGCAGTATAGGAGAGTTCCTTTTTCTGCACATCCTCGCCAGCCTTTTTTGCTGGTAGTTTTTTCAACATGCCATTCTCACTGGTGTAAAGTGGTATCTCACAGTGGTTTTGATTTGCATTTCCCTGACTCTAAGGATGTTAAACGTTTTTTCATATACTTGTTGGCCATTTGCATTTCTATTTTGGAGAAGTGACTGTTTAACTCTTTTGCCTGTTTTTTTGACTGGATTGTTTTTGTTGAGTCATGTGAGTTCTTTGTAGATCTTTGTGATCAGTTCCTTATCAGTTCTATAGAATGCAAAAATTTTCTCCAGGTCAGTAGGGTATCTTTTGTTTTGGTTAATGTCTCTTTTGCTGTACAGAAGCTTTTTAATATGATGTAATCCCAACTGTTTATCTTTTCCTTCACTGTCTTTGCTTTGTGGGGATGAGACTTTAAAGATGTTACTGAGATGTATGTCATGTAGTATTTTACCTTCAATTTCTTGTATGTATTTTATGGTTTCAGCAGACCCACACTTTTCAATGAAGAATTCTCTCTATTCCTGTGTCTTCTCCCATTCCCTCCTCACCCCATATCCATTACGTTTCTGTTTCATCTGAGCCACTAAGACCTGTTTTATAAAGATTACCAACAGCTTCTTTCTTAATACAGTAGTTTCTCTGCCCTCACCTTACTTGACCTCCTCAAAGCATTCAATACAGTGTATCATTTCTTGTTGTTTTTCCTGTTTCATTGACTGGTCTTAGCCACCTTGCAGGCTTCTCTTACCAGCCTCACTATCTGGAAATCCCTAGATTTTAGTCTTAAAACAGGGCCTTCCCCCTACCCCCCTTATTTTTCCCCTGTGTGAACTGGACATCTCTTTCTTGGATGTGTGTTAGTCACTCCAGATTTAAAGTGACCAGAACAAAACTGTGCCTGTAGACACACACACCACTTGCAGTTAGTGGTTACTGATTTGATAAGGGTATTATTACCATCTATTCACTTGTTTCAGCTAAAACCTTTGTAGTAATCCCTGATTGTTCTCTTTCTTTCATTCAATGTGGCTTGACTAATTGGCAAGTCTTATGGCCTCTAATTCATGGATTTGTAAGAAACCTGGACTCATTCCCACTCTACCACTACCAGCTTTGGCAACATCATCTCCCACCAGGCCCTTATACAAGCTTCCCAGCTTTCTCACTGCTCTCCCTCCAACCTTTCTCTGCTACCACCAAAGTGATGTCTTTAAATTGCTTGAAAGCAGTCTGGTGGCTTCTCATCACACTTGGAAAAGGTCCAAATTCCGTTCCCTAACCAAAAAAGCCTCCAGACTCTGGTTTTGATATGGGCAGCAAGGGGCACTAAAACTAACAGTCTTATCAGTCACTTTCTCAGTTTATCAGTAACTTTCTCAGTTCTTTACCTCCACACACAATTGCAATACTACTCAGGCCCAGAGAACAACAATGGGATTTACTTTACAAACCAGGGGAAAACAGAGTTACTGAGACCAGAAATGGCCGTTTACCTCTCACCTGAAGCAGTGTCCAGTGTTTTTAAATCCTAAACAAAAAGCATCTAAGATGGTATCTTCCCACTACTGAAGATGCAGAGTTCCTCTTCCAAACAATAGGCCATGTGCCCAAGATGGCATCTTCTGCATTATGAGGCAGCCAGACTATAGGCCGGGTTCCAACTCACCATCCCAGAGCTGCTGAGATGCCACAGCACAGCACCAGATAAGTAACACTCAAAATAGAAGCTACCCAACAAATGGCCATACTCCTACAGCTCAGTGAGGGGCCGCATGCTATATCTTCACCTTCCCTGGCAGGCTGTAGCAGCAGCAAAACCATGAAGAGTTTTAGTCACTCAGCTGTTTGCACAGCCTCCAAACTTTTCCTCTCTGAGGCTGGCTGTTGGAGGCCTCTGCATGTTCAGACGCCCACAACAGTTTTTTGAAAACTCGGCACAGTGGGGTCAAAAATCACTGACCCCAAATTCTGAATAATCCACAGCTGCTTGATTTTCCCTGTCTCTGTCTGTCTTCACCAGCACCCCTTTCCAGGAGGCACCACCTGTAAAAGGCCTTGTCTTCCACCACTGGATACAGTCTGTCTGTCTTTAGCTTCATCTCTTCCTGGTACACACCTCCTTAGCTTCTGCAGTGACTGGAGAATCTCACTTAAAGATTCCCTCTTCATAGTCTCTGATTTTCTCCAAAGTTACCTTTTTCCTCCTTCATTTGCATTTATATTACCTTGTTTTATTTTTCTAGATGACCCTATGAACCTCTAAAATGATTTACCTGTATACTGTCTACTCTTGTTTCTACACTACCATAAAATTTCATGAAAACAAAGACCTGTCTGTCATTTTAACAATTTACTCCAAAGATAAGCTAGGTAGATCTAATAAGTAAAAATAAATATTGGCTGGGCCTCCTTGGTGGTGCAGATGGTTTAAATGCAGCACTAAGAAGCTATCTGCAGCCAGTGCAGCATGAGTTCGATCCCCAGCCAGGGAGGTGACTCACATGGTGCGGCAGACCTCTTCCTGTCTCGCCCGCTGCTCCCCTCAGTGTATTTCAGTCAGTCCTCCTGTTCTGTTCTCCACTCTCTGGTGAGTCCTCTCACCTCCTGCAACTCTGGCCTGTACCCCATTTCATAAATGCATGAGTAAATAAATCTTTTAAAAAAATAAGTAATTATAAATAAATATTTTCAAAAATAAATATTCATTAAAAACACAAATACTTAAAAATTAAGGTTATATTATGTGAAGAAAAAAAGGTCTTCTAGAGCCATGACATGTTCTAATAGAAAAAGACACAACTTAGGAAAATAGAAGGACCCTCACATACTTGAGCCAAAACACAAAGGCTGATTAGAAGGGTATAGCACTGCTGAATAAAGGAAAGGATATTTTGTACCAAGACCTAGTAAAAAAAGGTGCTGGCACAGTTTTTTTTAAAGGACTAAAAGGTCACCTGAGTAATCTTGACATGACCATAGTTGTTGGCCCAAGAGAATGACAGTAGAAGTTGCCTCTAAGCTCTTTTCCCTCAATTCTTTTATTTATACCTTCAAATGTTCTCTCATTTTTCACATTGATTCTGAGCCCTATGTTTTTGGCTTATTCTCACATGGTGAAGGACAAGTAGATAAAAACCAGGGCTTGGGCTATAGACATGGGTCTGGCCACAGGCCAGATCCAGCCTGCCACCTGCTTTTTTAGAACCTATGAGCTAAAAATGGCTTTTTACATTTTTAAATGGTTGGAACTAAAATCAGAAGTATATTTTGGCCCTCTCTGGCGGCACAACGGATTAGGACACAGCACTGCAAGCTAGCTGCAGCCACTTCAGTGCAATTTAGATCCTTGCCCCAGAGGTGACCCGCATGGTATGGCAGGCCCCTCCTGGCCCGCCCGCTGCTCCCCTCAGCAGTGTACTTCGTTGATCTGCCTGTCTGCCCCCCACTCTGGTGAATCCTCTCATGACCCCTGTGCCTCTGGCCTGTACCCCAGTTCTATATGCATAAATAAATAAGTCTTTTGTTAAAAATGTTTGCTATTATTTTAAAAAGAAAGTATATTTCATGACAGATGAAAATTATATTGACTTTACATTTACCTGTCCTTGGAACACAGCCAGCCTTACTTCTTCCACACTGACTGCATGCTGCAGCAGCAGAGGTCAGTGGCAACAGAGGTGGTTGGCCCATAAGGCCTGAAATCTTCACTGTGTGTCCTGTACAGAAAACATCTCCACTGCAGATATAGATACAAACAAATGACTATTCATTTTAGATGCTTCAAATATGATTAACACAAAAACTTGATAGAGCTGGTTTTAGGCCCTTTTTCTTCATGGTAACTATTATTTCTTCTCTTCGTACAGCCATTCAGTTGAATCCCACCTATATCAGGGCAATATTGAGGCGAGCAGAGTTGTACGAGAAAACTGACAAGCTGGATGAAGCCCTGGAAGATTACAAATCCATATTAGAAAAAGATCCATCCGTTCATCAAGCAAGAGAAGCTTGTATGGTAAAATCAGATTTTTTCCCTGCATGATAAATCTTAAATAATTCAAGACATGACTAATTCCATTTCTGTGTTTTTTGAGGAGTAAATATATGGATGGTAGAACTTTTTTCTTTCTGGCATTGCAAAAAAAAAAAAAAAGTGGGGATGGCGTTTAGAGAAAAAAATTTACGAAAAAAGATGTGGGAAACAAATATCCCTGAAACCCAAATGTTCCATGTGCTTAAAATTCAGTCTCAATGTACAAATGTTGCATTTAGAAAATTGTAAGAGATATAAACTAAAGATGGTTTTATTTCTTGAGCCTCGGGGTCTCCCCCCTGGACCTGAAGTGCATTAAGGACTGTGTCCCCTCCCTCAGGTTTGAGAACCTACCTATTCACCCACCCACCATGCCAGTGGGACTGAAATGTAACAGTACATACCTCTCGTTTCAGGGTGCCACCACACCCTGCCACTACCACTGGCAGGTGCCTTCACTGGCTCTGGCCTAAGATACCCATGGAGGTAGCTGTGGCCAAGTACCCCTCTCTCTCCAGGACTCCTCAGTTGCACTTAGGAAGTGGCCTGATGAGCAGTAGAAGTGATTTTGAAGAGATAGCCCCAGGCCCACTGTGACCATGTACCATTTAATGTTTATAAAAGTGGCCCCTGTAAACCTTTTGTCTTTAGGGTTACCATAAACTTTTATTTCATTGCTGGCTTCGGGAAATCTTGTCCACCACAATTTAGTCCAGAGCAAATCTTAGCAGTATAGCTAAAGAACTTCGGGTTCTCTGTGAATCCTTTCCCTTACTTGATCACCAAGTTGCTGTTCATTGTCCATGCCCAGCTCATTTCCAATTGATGCATCCTAAGTAACCTCATCTTTCTTAAAATTACTCTTTATCATTGCCTTTGGCGGCTATAAATCCTTTTGCTAAACATCATAATTATTTTTATGTCAATTTTAAGTTTGGGGTTGCTGTCTCCCCCCCCCCACCCCGCTTTAAATATCTTAACAGATTTGTACTTGTATCTTTATCACCACTCCTTGAGTCTCTTTATTGCACAGAGCACAAGATAAAGTATGTGCTCCAAAGTGGCTGTGTCTGTGTCATTACTTCCTTAAAGAAATGTTAGGCTAGTTCAAGAAGTACTGTTAGTAGTTAAACAAGTATCTTTGCTGCCAGGCTTTTCAGTCATGAAGATGGGCGGGGGGCGTCTGCCAAGATTCCCAGACTGCAACAGTGATTGCAGACTAGCAGACAGGAGAAGAAAGCTTGAGCCATTTGTTTTGGTTTTGTTTTTTTAATTGCAGCCAAGGACCAACATTTAAAATGCTAAGCATTCTACAGTGCACATGCTACGTCTACAACACTTAATTACACAGCCTAAAAATACCAGTGATGCCAAGTTGGAAAAACCCTGAGCTGGATGATTAATTAAGGGCATCCAATATGGAGCTGAACCTTTTCTCAAGAAACTGGAATATATTAAAAAAAGCCTTCGAGTTAAAAAGTAGAAACTGTAAATATGACCCACAACCCCACTGTAAACACCTGCCATGTATTCTTCCAGACAGTTTCGTGTATATGCTATTCACCACACTTGTTGCTCTTCTCCCTGAGCCACAAACTATAGCCATGACCAAACTGACTGCTGTGTTTGTACGGTGCCCACATATTCTTGGTTTCTCAGTAGGAGCCTCTCTTGATGGCACTTTATATGTTTCTCCAAGTCAAAAAAAAAAAAAGAACATTTCACCAACTCTTGTTTCTCCTCTTCTCCCCTCAGAGGTTACCTAAGCAAATTGAAGAACGGAATGAAAGACTCAAAGAGGAGATGTTGGGTATGTCTGCTTTCCTCACTTTCTCTTGACCATCAGCAGCCAGGGCCTTTCTGCAATTTGCTTAGAGAGGGCTCAGGAATCAGAAACAGCCTCGGGCCCATTGTTGTGGGCAGCTGTACAAGGGCTTACTGACTTGCTAGCCTGTTCCAGCTACAGAAAGAGCAACAAGCATGCTTTCAAGAGGATATTTGCTTTTTAAAAAGCAAGCTTCCATTTTGTTTTTACTGGAAGGTTTCCTGCCTACAATAATGCAAACAGTTTGACTCCTACCCTGGTTGGCTAGGTAAATCTCTTCCAGATTTGAGTGTATACCTTTGATTCTCTCTAATACACAGAGCACAGCTGGGAAGCAGAGAGCGTGAACTGGGAGGCCAGGTGTTGCTGCTCACATAGGTCTGTGGACAAGCTTGGCTCACAAATAGAAAAGAGGCAGCAGCTCTCCTGCCCACCTGTGCCCGTGCAGGTGTGTCTCTTTGCCAACCTTTGCCCTTTACAAAGCAGCAGAGGCCGCTCTCCTCCAAGTCTACCCACCTGACTGCGCAGGCCTCTCTCAGCAAACCTGTCCCTTTGGGGGCGTCTCTTTTCTGCCTGCTTGTGTCTCTCCCTTTTTATAGTGAACCTGCCCTTTTGGATATAAAAAAAATAGAAAAGAATATGGTGTGAAGATTTTTGTCATCATTATTTGCAAATTGATTTATACTGCTTCCTGGCCACACAAGGAGATGGAATTTCTACAAGAGAAAGAGAGAGCTAGAGGAACTGTTTCTCTATCCTGATCTCCTCTCTTCTCAGTTTATTGGAGTGTGCAGAAGATAAACTCGTCTACTTTATCACAGAGGCTGCGAGGCAGCTTCCAAGGCATCTCAGGCCACCAGCCTGGCAGACTGCCCCCTCTAGTTGCTAGAGTTAGGTTTTGCTGTCAGGCTTCTGATACAGATTTCGCTTGCCAGCTGCCAAACCAAGTTCTCTGCTGGGTGGGTTCTCAGACATGGTACCTTGGCTAGCGCTTCCTGGGAATTTATCCTGAAGGCCCCCAGCCAGCTGGACCCTTGCAGGGATCTGATGCACATTCGAGTTCACTGGCTGATTGGTGAGTGGTAGGGAAGTGCCAGGCAGCCTGGGGACCCTGAGGTAGTACGGGGTTCAGCATCTTTGCACAGGGTAGAAGCAGGTGTGTCACTGATTCTTCACTTCTCGTGCCTTAGCTGCAGCAGAGAGAAACGAGGAAGTAACGCTTTGCCGCACGCACCTGTGAGCCATCCTTGTCAGACTTTACTTCTGGTGCGAGTCGGCTCCCTGTGCTGTCCCCACCACCAGGTGGCAGGTCCTAGTGTGGGAGACCTCTCTGCAATATGCTGAGCTGGGCTTCTGGCATTCCATCAAATGCTGCTCCTCCTAGCTCAGCCAAGGGCTGCTGGGTGCTGGGCCTGACCTGGAGACCTATGGCCGTGTCCACTCAGGCCCTGACAGAACCAGTAGCACTAGCAAGGCCCTGCCCCGACGTCCTGCTTCCCTGTCACCGCACCTGCTGCCATCCCTGCCCATCCCAGCACCTGGTCACTCCCATGGGAGCCATGGTGGTCATCAGTCCAGGCTCCCACTTGTACCCTGCCTCTTTCTACCTCGTAACACAGCCCTGGTGTCCCAACCCTGAAGTTACACTGTTCTCGTCCAGCCACTAGCAGCCTGATGAGCCCACATCTGAGCTGAACACCATCTTCTGGGACACCGCTTTCAAGAGCCAAATATGCAGCTCAAACTAACTTGCTGCTTGTCATTGCAAGGATTTGCACATGCTTTGGGCTCCCTCTGCTCTGTGCGTGTAGCCAAGGTAGACTTGACTCCCTCTGGAGCCACAAGAAATACTCTGAATTGTTACTGTCTCTCAGATCTGCTGAGTCACGCTCATGAGTGTGAGATCCTGGCTTTTTTACGTATTCCTCTTCATCCAGCTGGCTGGTCCTCATTGCAGCTTGCAGCCACGCAAATGTCCCTAAGCCACGTCCTTGTTGTCCCTCCATGAGGAATGTCATTTGTAGGTTTAGTACCCCACCTTTAATTCACTCTCCACTGCTGTTCCCCATGTTTCTTTCAAGAGTCCCCTATTTTTCTGAGCTCTTGGTCATTTGAATTAAGTGTGACTGTGACTTCACTACTCTGTGCCTCCTGCTCCAAGGAAAGCTTGAGTTGACTTCCTGGCTGTGTTCCTGGCCTCCAAACCAATTGAGTTGTGGAATGTTATTTGACCTAGAAATTGGTATTAGTCAGAATTGGGCCCTGCAAAGAGCTGGGTACACTTGTGTCTGAGACACACAGTTGAGTTGTCTGCTGTAGGATCTAGACTAGCAGGTGATGTCCTATCAGACATGTTGGCACATTTATCGACAATGCCGGATTTGCTACAGGTAGAAATAGGGCAACCTCACAGGTTACTGCGCAAAGGGGAAGCCCGGGGGTTGGCAGCCAGGGGAGCGCCGGGCTGGGCGGCTGGCTCCACCCAAGGAAGCTCTGTTAGTCACTGGCTGACACTGCACAGCCAGAGGAAGCCAGTGAGTAAGTTGAGTGAGTGAGTGGTGGGGCACAGGGGGTGTGGGGGCGGCCTGTGAGTGTGTGTGAACACATGTCTGACTGAGCGGCCATTTAGGAGCATGGTCTGCTCTGAAGGCGCCTCTGCCATTTCCCAGCAGTGTATTTTCAGACACCAGGACCTTGGCGGCCATGCTGTTCATTTGTACTCCTGCTACCCCTCTTTCCTTCCCCAGCATTCAGACAGCCCCATGTTTAATCCATGACAGATGGCCTTGCACAGTGCAGCACTACTCTTCTGGTTCATTCTTTGGCACAGGACTACTAATCCTGAAAGCTCAGGTCTCACACCCTCTTCGGCCTCCCACTGCCAGGCCATCCTAGAACTGGCCGGGATAGGCCTCTCAGCCCCACCCTGGCCTGCCGCCTCCATGGTCTCCAGCCTTCTCAGGGCACCGCCCACTCCCACCATCACCAATGGTTGCAGTCCTGCCTTGCCTTTCCTGCTTGCTTCCAGCACAGTCGCTACACAGAAGGTCTGCCTTCCCCCACCCAGCTGGAGGAATCTCCCTGACAGTCAGAGCATGTTACAGTGAAACTTCACGTGTACTGGCGTCTGTGTGGGTGTCCTGCCTCCCCATCTTGTTGGAGCTTACTGGGCGCATCTCTGTATCCCAGCCACATTCAGCAGGCTGCCACATGCCTATTGTATCGATTGAACATGTCAGTCCATCTTGCAGGTCAGGAGCCTCAGGTCTCTTCTGACATGGCAATAGGGAATTATGGGTCTTTCTTTAGGTGGCTGTTGGCTGCCAGGTGTTTCACGCCACTTTGTCACTTAGAGCATCCCATGTGCTGTCCTGCACGCCATAGTGACAGAGATGCATGACTATAAACAAGAGGAAGGTGCTGTAGGTGTTAGGTGGGGTCCTTGCAGAAACAGATGCCAAGATTTAACCCACAGTTCAAGAGCTGTATTAGGGGAAACAACTGCAAAGAGAAATGTCAGGAGTGAAGGGAGCAGGGTTTCCAATCCTGTAGAGGATAGAGAGACAGTGCGTTGGAAAGGTCTTCCTCTGTGCAGGGGCTCCCCAATGAGCCCCTGGAACACAGAGCTACCCATGGAGCCTCTACCCCGGGCCTGGCCTGTCCCTCCTCTCCTCTGTGTTGGGTGGGCGCAGCCCTGGAGACACTTCAGTGGCATGGCAGCCTCTGCATCACCTCTGCCAGCAGAAAAGGTCTGGCCCTGTGGGCGCAGACCCTTCAGTCTTCAGCAGAGGCAGGACGGGAAGAAACCAGCTCTTGCTCTTTGGCTGCACCTGCATACTACTCAGCTTTGCTCCTGTGATCTTATACCTGCTTTCTGGCTCTGGCACCTTCCTCGCCCAGATGGTCCTCCCCTGGCTCACTGGCTGCTCCTTGGCTGTCTCCTCCACACACTGAGCCCTTCAGAAGCTTAGGCCAAATTTGACTCCTGTGTCACCTGCCACAGAACAGACCAACTAAAATGTGCAGTCTGTACTTTAGCTCCTGACCTGATGTGGAGAGAGGCCCATAGTGATTTCTCCTCAGGGAGGAACACTCCCTCTCCCAGAGCGAGGCTCTCCCTCCGCTCCTTGCCAGCAAGAGTCAGGGCGTGTCTGCAAGTGACATGTTACTGGCTTTCTTTAGATGTTTGTCCCCTCCCTGTCCTTTCTCCTCAGCCCCAAAGCAGTAGGTCTGGGTAACTTCTGTCTTTTCCTTTGTAGCCATGCCCCTCCTCTTCCGCCTCCCGAGCTAGGCTCCAGGCCTTGGTGCTGACCTGTGTGTGGGAGCAGGCCTGTGCAGGGGGTTCCTGCATTAGCACTGAGCGGGTGGCTCTAGATTGAGCTTGGGAACCTGTTGGAGGAAGGTCAGCCTGGGCCGTGGAGTGTCTCGGGCACGGTGAGTGACTGGCACTGAATCTGAGATTGAGGCCAAAAGTTCTTTCCATGAGTTCTCAGGAAAAACCTGAGCATTTAAGTGCCAGGCATCTTTGAATGTATTCACCTAGGCTTTACTTCTAAGTGAGAGACCCTGCACCTCTGATGATGAGGCGATTCTTTCCCTTTTACCCCCATTCTTAGCACCTCTGGAAGCAGATCTGCAAGAAAAATTAGTTAGGAAGGGCTGAATTTCCATTTGCCTCTCCTCAGCAAGATTCTCCAAAACTCAAGAATTGCATATTCTATCCCATCACTCTACAAATCCCTGTAAGTCTCTCGCACATCCTGATGTCTAGTGTCTGACATAGAGTCCAGTGCACTCTTATGTGTACAGACAGCCCAAAGACCTGAGGTTACACTATAATCCACAGCTGTGGCTGACAGAAGCTCCCCAGGTCTTCAGGGCGACTCCTGGAACTGTTCTGAGGAAACTGAATGGAACGTCAGAGGAGCAAGAAGCTCAGACTTCGTGGAGAAAAGCAGGAAGCTCTCGAGTTGGACCTGGGCTGAGAAGAAATGGGCCAGTGACTTGGATTAGCAAAGGCTGCTCGGGTTCAGAGAGAGCGGAATAGGGAGAACCTCTGCCCTCAGGGCATGTGGCTGGGCTGGGGGTGTCTGCAAGCACCCAAGCCTGTGTCCTTCTCCTTCTGGCCTGTGGCAGCGCCCGCTAAGGAGACATAGGCTAATAGTAGCATCATTTGCAAAGCAGACATTTCTTTTAACGGCAGCCAAATGCTCTTCTTATTTTCTAGTCAGTAGTAAGATCAGTCACTGTCTCCCCTCTTCTCTCATGCCCTGTGTTGATCCGAGTCTTTGCTTTAAATTACAGGCAAACTGAAAGATCTTGGGAACTTAGTTCTCCGACCTTTTGGGCTCTCCACAGAAAATTTCCAGATCAAGCAGGATTCCTCTACTGGCTCATACTCCATCAATTTTGTTCAAAATCCAAACAACAACAGATAACAAAGATAACAGCCTTGGGGAGCTGACTGGAAGTTGTGTGCTGCTTGCCGTCGGCCAGGCACAGGCCTGCTGACATCCACTGTGGACGCGTCCTGTCTGAGACGGCTGCCCCGCCCCGGGCACTCCCCCGTCTCCCACCCCCTCTGTACCCCGAGCAGGCTCGGCCACACCTCCTGATGTCAGGAGCCTCTCGGACTTCTTTCCAGAGAGGTATCTTCGTGGTTGTCCCCGGTTCTGTGTGGGCTGACCTCCTGGAGGCAGCAGCAACACAAGCCCTGCTTGTGTCCCTGGACCCAGCAGACCTGTCGGCCGGGGACGTTCTGATGCCCCTCCCACCCACTGCCCCTCCAAGTCACCCGCCGCCGGGCTGCCCACTGCCTGACTCCTCTGTGGTAATAAACGCTTTCTCTGCTGGTCTGAGCTGGCTGAACTTTGTCCCTCAAACCATAGGGCAACAGGCTTCCCTGACTTGGAGCTGGGCCGGTTCCAGCTCCACAAGTCTGCCCACTCTTGTTGAGGAGCTTGAAGAGGTGACCCTGGCCCCTCACCCTAGAATCCCAGCACCCCACCCGGCATGTGCCTCTAATCCTGACCAAGTGCCGGCACCATCATCTAAAGGTAAACTCACTTCACTTGAGAATGGTGGCTCGTGACAGAACCATATACTTGGGAGGCTACAAGAACCCAGAGCTTCAGAAGTGGGTTTTTTCCTAATGATAGTTGAATCTCTGTGGATGTGATTTGCCTGTCAAAGAGCGACCGACCGACCTGCCAGTTTCACCTCCCTAGCTGGCAGCGATGCCCACGTGCAGTATGTGGTGGTGGGGAGCTTTGCCAAGCCTGCCTCCCAGATTAGAGTCGATCTCTGCGTGCAGTTTACGAGGGGGAGGTGGACTCTGCTGCCTTTTGCAGCTCTTTCCCAAATAGGTTGGGAGCCCCAACTGAGCTGTGTACCTGCTTTGGAAACAAGGCAGCATTGTACGTGGCTTGGGCCTCACATCTTTAGATTACATCCTTTGGTATAAAGCATGTTAGAAAATCAGTGTTTCTTACAATATTTAATTTCTCTAAAAAATGAATGTGTTACATGTTAATACTTTCCCCCAAAACAACCTGGATTGGTGGCATTGTTTTACATTTTTGCAAATCTCTTTAAAATGTCCCACTTGATAGGAAGACAGAGTCTCAGATCGGCCTCTGGCCTCAGTTTACCAGGATAGCATGTCATCTGTCATGAGAAAAATTGGGAAAATTGTGCGTGCTTGTGACAGAATGACCGTGAAAGAAGAGCCCTCTTAGAATTAATTACTATAAAGAATTTGACCTCTGGGACACCTGAAAGGGTCGGAGGAACCTGGGGATCCTCAAACCACTTTGGCAAGATTGGGGCTCTTGAGCTCCATGGCTGAGAATAAAGGTCAAGGCAGAGATTCCCTGAAGGGACATTCCTGCTTCAAGAGAAAGGCTCTTATTTGCGTGGGAACAGCCTAAGTGTCTGACAGTAGGAAAGTCCTGACAGGGTTCGAAGAAATTCATAAAAGTGTGCAGGAAGAAGGAAATCAAATATTTAATACTGATTTTCTAATGTTTTATACCTGTCTTTGCATCCTATTGCTAAAATAGGTGGTATTATAATTCCGTGAAGCCTTCCTCAGAGTATACATGATTGGAGGGGAATCACACAATGACATTGTATATGCCTTTATTCTAGTGGTACTGCTGTAGATCATAATACTTTTGTACCTCCTAGAATTTCCTTGAAGATTTTTTTTTTTTTTTTTTAAATACCATGTCCTCTTATCCTGGCTGTTCTGTGAGTAGGCCCTGAGCTCCGGGAAGGTAAGGGCCCTACTCACCACACCAGCACCTCATAGTTGCTATGGAAGGATGATGTGCAGGAGGTGGGCCAGCCTCAGCTTCCAGGCCCTTTTCTTAGTACCTGTTCTTCAAGTGTCTACTAACCACTCCATTATCTCAACATAGGTGGAAACTAATCATCTTTCCCATAGATGTTGAGATGCAATCCCGATTCAGTGGCTGATGGTCACCTTGTAAGGAGTGAGGGGTGGGGGACAGTGAAATCAGTGTAGTTCCCCCCTTCAGGCCACACTGTTCCGTGACTTCCCATACCTCCACCAGAAGGGCCTGGCTCCTCTCCTTCAGCTAGCCCACCACTGCCAGGTGGCTCTCTCAGCAGTGGATCCAGTAATTGGGCCACGAAGCTTATACCTGTGGCATCACCTGCAGCCCCTTGAGCCACCATGTAACCTCTTCATATGCTGAGCCTCCAAGCAGCCTGTGTGTTGGCTGGTTTTAATCCTTATATCTCTAGTAATGGCGAGCACTGGTCTTGAGACCTCATCTCAGAAATCCCCAGCTTGCCCCGGAGCTCCAGCCGCCCAGACAACTCCCAACTCATGTTGCCATCAGTCTGCTCTGCATTTGTCTCCAGTCTGCATCTTCACTGCCTCCCTGGCTACACATGAAGCCCTTTGCCAGAACCAGGATGGTCCCCACAGAGTGCAGTCGTGTGCTGGGATTCCTGTGCAGACCATGGATCACTTCCTTGTGATGTCAGGGATGGAACCTATGGTGAGAATGTTCTTACGCCTCCTTCAACCCCAACTTCCAGGAACTCCAGGGTGCCCCTGCATCTCCCTGTTCTCACAAGCACTGGTTGGGTTGTTTCCTTTTGCACTCTCCCTCCCTTTCCCCTCACCCCATGCCACATCGTGTCACCTGTGTTACCCTACAAGTTATGGAGCTCCTACTGCCAGGAGAGGTGGGACAGCCTGGGAAGACAAGGCCTCAGCCACTCGCCTTGAGTGCACGGCTGCTCAGGCAAGGGTCACTGCCACGGTGTTTTTTTGAGGGCTGGGCAGCTGAGGATAGGTGGCATCCCTGGTGTAATTCCTGGGGAGCTCAGGCTCTGAGCTGGCCTCCAGAGCTACTGCTGTTTCATGCCGCACTCCAGCTCCAACACATGCACTGGCAGCAGTGAGACACGCATGTCAGCAAAGCTTTAGTAAAAAAGGGAAGGTTCGATGGCACACGGGTGACTTGGTGATGGGAAACCTGCGGGGATTACAATAGAGATGGAAAAAAAAATGTACAAAATGATGTAAAAATAAACTTAACAAAATTAAAAAAAAAAAAAAAGGCTCAGTGAACCGGAGGCAGCCGTGTGAGGCCACGGTGCACTGGGAGAGAAGGGCCCAGAAGTCACCCAGGGCAGGGTGCAGGTGGGAGATAGGGCCTGGGCAGAAATAAGCTGGCACCCTGCCCCCATGGAGCTGTGCATGGGGTCATCCCTTGTGGGAGGGTTCCAGGCAGGCGGGAAACACCAGATGCCTCAGCCTCTCAGAGCCTCCCCTCAGACTCATTTTCTGCAATCTTGTCCCCATCCTGTGTTTTCAGCAGTCACTCAACCTGCCCCCCCACCCCATCCCCACCCACCGTGGGCATATTGTGTGCCCAACCCCCATCCTCAGGTGGCTCCTTTCAGGGGGCTGTCCAGGCTTCTCTGCACCTCAGCCCCCCCCCCCATCACTTGCATGTCCTCACAAACAGGAAGTGGGTGCACATTCCACCACAGGTTCGGGACATCTGTCCCTGGAGAAGATTAAGTAAAAGCTGCAGAGGGAGGTGGTCATTCCCACCACTCCTGCAGTGTGGAGAGCTGCCCTGAGCCCACACTGGAAATCCCTTGCCCTCAGCAAGCTGGAAGTGGACACCCAGGATGTAAGGGGGAGGAGGGCTGTCCAAGACCTCAGCGACAACTTAGGGAAGTGGGTCAGGTGCCCTTATGTGTGCAGGCGCCCACTGCATCCTGGCCACGAGGAAGGGTGGGTCCCAGGGTGCTCATCTTACATGTGCCAGCTTTGCCAATCTCACAGTCCATAAAAGGAAATGGCTTTGTGATGCCACAAAATTCTACCAAGTTAGGTCCAATCAGCCAGCAAAAGAAACCTGACTCCATCTTTCCCCTTTCACTAGAGAAACGGGAAGCCCACATTCTCACTAGCTGAGGCGGGGCAGGGTTTGTGGCCCTACCACTGAGACAACCCACAGCCACAATTTGGTGGTGATTCAGTCCATCAAACTAGCTACTAGCTCCAGCTTAAAAACCATCCAGGTCCAGATGGACTCCCTGTAAGGTCAGGGATTCTCAACTGTGGGGTGTCACCATGCGAGTGCAGTCAACCCAGTCTCAGGAAGCCCTATTCCAAAGAGAAGCTTCCTGGGACCTCAGTCACGTGCTATTCCATTCATGTGCACATCAGACACCCCATGTTCTCACCCCAGCAGCGGTCTTGAGCCACTGAGTTGGTGCCCCCAACTCCCCAGGGAACACATCAGAAACCACAAAAGCAAAACTCCAAGACAGGCTCAGAGAGGCCAAGGATGGAGGGCAGTGGGAGTATCGAGGAAGACAGGCTGCAGGTTTGCTGGGCTCTGACATTCGTGAACTGCACAGGATTTCTTAGGCCAGTTGGCTGCTCCAGTAGGACATGCTGTTTATAATAGCTTCGCCTCGTGGGGTTAACTGAAGGGAAGCCTCAATTCTGGGGCCATGTTGCTTGGACTGGATTCTGCCACTGGCGGTGACCTCAGAGCCCAGAAAAGGTGGCTTCCGCGTATGCTGCCCGAACCGTTCCAGCCGGTGTCCCTTTGTACGGGCCCCTGAAAGCTGCAACTGGACTCGTAAGAGCCCACCCAGCACTGACCTCTGTAGGTCGCTGCTTGAAACCCCTTCCTGGGCTTTTCTACAACCAGCTCCCCTGTGCTCAGCGTACCTCGTCTACATCACAGGTTTGAGCCCTCTACTTGGCATACATGGGTGCTGGCACTAAGCTTCAGAAGAAAAAGGAAATAGTATATTCCACTTAGGGAAAAGCATTCCCCATTGTCTCCAGTGTTTCTGGCCTTGCTGAGAGACAGACAAGCCGGTGAGTAGGACACTCTCTGTACCACATGGTCTGAGGCTAGTGTGATCGTCAGTAATGTCACTGACTGAATCCACATCTTCAACCTTGGACTCAAGGTTATTTCTGTAGAAGTATCTTTCTCCTAGCTCACCCCACTTTCTCTTCTGCTATTAGTTTGCTTCAACCAATGTGCCTTACAAGGGAAGGTCAGAGTTGACCCTGTAAGTCTGTGATCTGAGGAGTGCTCCTTGAGTTACCATCTGATTATTTTACATTTATTTATGCATACAGAAACTGGGGTACAGGCCAGAGGTGCAGGGGGTCAGGGAGGATGAGAGGATTCACCAGTGACACAGGAAACATAACAGGCAGATGTGCTGAAATACACTGCTGAGGGGAGCAGTGGGGGGAGACAGGAGAGGTCTGCTGCGCCATGTGCGTCACCACCATGGTGAGATTAGTGTCATAGTGCTGCAACTTAACACCTTG